TTTAATAAAACCATTTTAGTTATGCAGGTGAATTATCTTTGTTCTTTCAAGAGATTGTATTGAAAAACTAGAAATCAAATTACTTTAATGGAAATTCATATGTATATATACAAACACATATATACATGTGTACATATATATGTGTTTGTATATATGTTCAGTTCTTGCCTGATATCAGAATTTTATGTAACTATTAGTGAAAAATTCACCAAATGAGAAATAGCACCATCTATAAGTATTTTTAATGTGCTTGGCATCATGCATGGATTTAATTCAGATTAGTTTATTTAGCCTTCAAAATTAAGAAACTGGAATCTGAGAGGGTCCTGAGATCAATAGTCATTGATGGTAGATAACTGAGAGAAAATTACTTGAAATTCCTCATTGTTTCCAAAATAGGGATGGGTACAGGAAATGCTACCTCAAAATGTGCCACCTTGGTATACAGAGAATTTTAAGCTGAAGGAAATTGAGAAAAAAACATAGAAGGAGAAAGTTCTCTTTGACCTGTTTCTACCTTCTCGTTCCTAAAGTGGGTCATAGAGATCAATATTTTCCTTGCCCATTTCTCCCCTGAAGTAGGTCACAGAAACTAGGATTTCCCTTGCTCCTTTTCCTGGATGCTGACCATAAAACCTAAGAAGGTTACTCTCTGATATTCTCCCTTTCTCCTCTCTGGAAGGCTTTCTGGCCACAGGTATTCTGCCTTATCCCTGGAGAGAAGACATGTCACATAAAGAGTCTAGGAAGCTGAACAAAAACCCAGACCTTTTTAGGTTCCCCCAGGATCCCACCAGTAGATCATACCTTAGTATCCTCTATACCTCTGTGTGACTGTCCATAAAAATACACAGATTTCCCTAGAACTTTGGATTTTCATTTTTAAGTTATCCATGCCATGTGTGTATGTATATATATATATTCTTTAATAAGTACTTTTCTTTTTTTAAAAAATCTGTTTTTCATTATAGAGGTGTCAGCCAGGAACCTTGAAAGTTGAGAAAAGAAATATTTTCTCCCTTATAATAGTGTCAGTACATAGTAGATGCTCAGTAAATGTTTGTTAAACCAACTGCCAATGTAGGAATGAATGAATTGTACAATTCCAAATAAGTATAGTAGAATAATTTAATCAAGAAAACACACTGCATGCATGACCCTAGGCAAGTCAATTTACCATTTTAAGCCTCAGTTAACTCACTTGTAAATCAAAGGGAAGATCCCATCAGTTTCACAGTCTTAAAAATTCACCATGGGTTTTACACCAGCAGTTACTGTCAATCATTTTTATCTGGTATAGAAACACCTTTGATATTTCCATTAGCTAGAAAACAAGAGCTCCTAACATGTACTTCATTCTTCCTTTTGATGTTGTAATTTGAAAATGAGATTGGTAAACCAATAATGCAAGAAACATGTACAGATTAGTCTCAAGACCAAAGAACAGTCATCTGTAACCAGGGCCTGAGAATAGAAATATGATATTTGATATCTAAAATGTATCTCTTCTTTTAAGCGGCACCCTTTTCTTCATTTCATTCACTCTCTCAATACATATATGTATACGTGTGCATGTGTGTGTGTGTGTGTGTGTGTGTGTGTGTGTGTATTGATTTGACCTAGTTTTATAGTTATATAGAAATGCTTTTCTCCTGGAGCCTGCCTTCATGCACATTATGAATAACACCGGTTGAACATATTCCTTAGTTTCTGTTGATTCATTTGTAATAATGTGCCTATGTTTTACGTTTTTATAACCATTTCAAGGAGCAAAAATTAAATGAAGCCACAAATTCATCAGTGCATGAAAGGAAAGACCAATGATCAGTGCTAGGTTTAGGGTATAATAAAATGAGAACTAACAGAAGTAAATTTTACCTGGTATTTATGGTAACTGTCAAATTAATGAACAAAATGGAATAATTTCACTGACACTTGGAAAGGGTGTCTTCCTTTTGGAGTTCAGACCATAAGAAACACCATGCATGTGTGCATGCACACACACTAACAGCTGTAGCTCTAAAAATAAAGCCGTATGGAGTCTTTCTTGACTTGCCCCTCCAGAAATAAAGAACTGGGGTCTGAACTCTAAAGTACCAGACAGTCTGCTTATGTAAGCAGAAGTCAGAGTGGGAAGGCAGTTTATATTTTCCACAGCTGCTTTAAGTCTAGCACAAGCAGTACTAAAAATTACTTAACCAGTTCAGTAGTAATCTACAACTAGGCGACACCCAGGGAACAGGCCTATTATTCTAATTAAGTAGACGTTGCCCTGTTTAAGTAATCCCCTTTCCTCACATAATCACACTTTAGACTCGAATTTCATGTGCTTGACTCCAGGCCCCTAAGGAAGCAGGCTGCCTAAGGAGAACTATATTAACTCTTTCATCTTTGCCAGAATGTAAAGAAGTTCAAATTTTTTTTTTCCCCAAAGTATTCATTCAAAGAAAATTTGTTAACAAAAGATCCCCAAATCTAAGCAGATTTATTAGAAGAAAAAAAATTGGATGACCCGTTTCCAACAGAAAGAAGTGAATAGCCCCTAGAGAATGTGATAATATGTGTCCTAAAAATCTCTATCCATGGTTTGAAATTATTTCAGTCTTAGTCCAGATGTTCCCCAAACTCAAACCCAGAAGCTAATTGTTTCTCTTAGCTAATTGTTTCTCTTTCCCCACAATGCATGATCAGCAGTCACAAATCCTTAACCAGTTTTGTGTGTGTACAAACCTGACTACAAGTATTAATTTAACAAAGTGGGTGAAACAGGTGACGGCTGGAATAATAAATACACCGTCGCTCTGAGTTCAAGCATTCCAGGCTCAACTGCACATGAATTTTGTGAGCCATCTGGAATGAATCGGTTTGAGAGAAAAAAAGAACACAATGAAATACTGATATAATAAGCTGATAAGCTGATTTAAAAATACGGTGGTTCAAATTTAAAAATGTAAGATGTATCTACTATTTTCCATTTTTCCTTTTAGTAGAGTCACCTTTTGTACTGGCTAACTCTAGACTCGATCCCTTTCTATTCTCACAAAAGGAAGAATCTATTTTAAAAATTGCAAGATTTGTAATCTCAAGAGAGCAATCTAAACCCATAGAGCAAATGATTGAGTTTTGGGATAGTGGATTCTGACCATTGAGATATATTTGGCCCAGGAAGCATAGGTGGTATAAATAAGGAGTTTGCCCCTTCCTGGAGAATTCCAGATATATAGGACAGAAAACGTGGCTACAAAGGGGAATGTCCATGCTTCTCTCCTGATGACCATTCCTAAACTGCTTAAGCTTGTGTGTCTGCTGATCTTGGTGAAAGAAAACACAATCAGCTTCCAGACTGAGGCTTGGCAACATCTAGACCTGAAGAATTTCATAAAAAAACCACCGTGGATAGAAATTGGTTACTTTTAGGACACATGATTACAAAGCCCAGAGAATTTAAGGTGTGGTCAGTTAGACCATTAACTCCTCAGAAGCCTGCTGATGTCTCAGCTCTCCACAGGTCTTAGTTCCTAACTCTCACATCCTTATATACACTCTACTCTGCTACTAGATGTCCTCCCTGGGTAATGCACACAGATTTCAAACTTGTCAAAACTTTTCCATAAGGTGGAGAATTTGTTTCATTATTCACTTTCAGTAAAGCACTGCTCAAAAACTGAAAAAAAAAAAAAAAGCCCAAGATATTCAAATTTATCCTCTGATTGCTCAACAAGAAATACAGTACGGGTTGGAGGAATGACCTCCTCAATCACTATGCTGGGGAAAGATTCTGATTTGACGCTCACAGGCTGATACCATTAAGCATTTGAGTAACAGAACCAACTTTACTTTTTAAATAATTTTTTTATTTGTTCTTTTTAGTTACACATGACAGTAGAATGCATTTTGACATATCACACATACATGGAGTATAACTTCCCATTCTTGTGCTTGTACATAATGTAGAGTTACACTGGTCGGGTATGAACCTAGGAAAATCATGTCTAATTTATTCTACTGTCTTTCCTATTCCCATCTGCCTCTCTTCCCTTCATTCTCCCTTGTCTAATCCAGTGACCTTCTATTCTTCCCTCCTACCAACTTCTCTTTTCCTGATTTTCTTTCACCATTCTTTGTAGCTTTGTATTTCTTATTCCCACTACATGGAATATTGTTCCAATTTTTTTAGTACAGTATGCAAATTTCTACCATATCAAACAGATCAAACTTCCCAGAACATGATCTGCTGTCTATAATGCAGCACAAGTTCAGTACACATTTTTTGAATGAAGGATGGGATGAACAAAAGAGAATCTGAGGGGTTCTCAAAGAGGCCTGGGGGGAATTTTAGCTCTTTCGAGGATGGTAGAAAATATGGTGACATATTCTTCCCCTAAATGTGTAAGGGATTTTGCAAACCGTTCAGTTGCTCTGAAGAGAAAGGTCAGATGAATCACAGATGATTTCAACATCCATAGGGTATTGTAATAAACTACTTTCCCTCATTGGCAAAAGAAGGTACCAGGCTGATGGTGTAGCTTGGTGATGCAGCCCTTGGCTAGTAAGTGAGAGACCTCTGGGTTGGATCACCAGAACTGCAAAAAAAAGGAAAAAAAAAGAAAAAAGAAAAGATACTATATAAAGCAATTAGCATACTCTGGCATTCATCTCTCCCCTTGGTTTTGGTGATCTGAAGTTGTGAGGATTTAATTACATGCTTTGATTTAAAAGACCAGTTATGTTTTTTGTTTTTGTTTAACTGGAAAGAGCTTAGAATGAGGTATAAACTTTAGTTAATAGGGAAAATACCCTAACATTCTTAAAGTTGCAAAGGTGAAAGAAGAAAACAAATAAAAATCTCTGTGACACATTACTGAAAAAGGGGAAAACACTCATCATTTTATTAGGTAAGACAAAATGAGCTGCGCTTGATTTACACCACAACGCTGAGCACTGTTTGAATTCTTTCTGATTTCTTAAAGTGGTTTTATTTTTCTTTATTTATTTTACAGGAAGTTTCTAATTCTGACAATGAAGAACCAAAAAAGAGAAAGTAAGTCAAATTTACTTTGTAAATTTTATGTTCTCTTAGTCCTATTAAGTGGAATGTGACTATTTTTTTATTTTTTATTATTATTATTTTTTTTTACTGTCCTGTGCAGATCTGGGTGTGTATAACTCAGAAACCATTTCTGTTTATACGATTGCATAAGAAAACTGTGTTATGCCATTTCTGTAGACAGGGATGTGAAAATTAAATTTTCAGAAGAAAAAAATGTTTAAACTAGGCTCAGATTAAATTGGGAGCCTAGTTGAAAACATGTGTCTATTGGTGGCCTACTAATCTTCTAAAGAGTTCATCTAATCCAAGTACGAGTGTGTTTTCAGAGTTTTGGGTTATTTAGGTCAGGCCCGGCTTTACACTCAGCACACAGAGCTGCCAGAGGACGTGACATACACATGTGGCACCAGGCAACAGAATGTTAACTAGTATGCAAGAAATACACAGGGGCAGGAAACTGGTTTAGCCGGAAACTTCCAGATCAGTTGCTGAGGATACAGAAAATTAAGCTTCCTTGTGTCTTGGTCTGAGACCAAATTGTGAACTGGGTGAGATTCTCTGGGTGTCCTCTTTCTCCACAGCCCTTGCCTTCTCCTAGCCCATGTGCTCTGTATTCCACATTCTTTCCTCCCTTTCCTGCTCAAAGCATTCTTCCAGCTGAGAAGTTGAGATTCAAACAAACTCCATGCATTTGGCTTAACTCATGAATCCACAGACAATTCACAGTGCAAGGTGCCTGCCAGGCAGGGGGAGTTGTATTTTGCCAGTCTCAAAGTACTTAATCTGCAACATTAGCATTTTAAGCATGAGTTTAATCAAGTAAAAAACTGGCTTTGGCAGTGCCCTTCTCAGTCTTCAAGACCAACCTACCTAGACTGTTTACCCATGGATAAGCAACTCACTAATTCTAGATCAAACACTTAAACAAAATTGCAGTTGTTGGCTTATGATTAATGCGTTCACAGATTAGAGGATACCAAAGCATCAAGGGGCAGGTGGAAGATAAATTAAAGGGAAGGTGCCTGAGACTGACCAAATTATGCTTTTTCCAACAAAAGAATCTACTAATTCTAACTGGTTAGAGTCTGAGGTGCTCCTCAGACTCTAACCAGTTAGAACAAAATCAAAGACTCTTTTGAGTTCCTCAATTGTTATTCCTGAA